GATCGGAGATGAAGTGGCCTGCCAATATAAATTATTACGTTATAAGTGCGACGAGTGGGGTAGAAATATGTATGCCCAAGACTATCATACTCTCGGCGTCTTGGCCTATGGTAATGGTCAACGAAATGAGTGGGACTGACCATTATTACTGAAATCATTGTCCGATGCTCACTGTCTGCATATTGATAATTCTAGATTTTCAGTAACCCAACATGGCCTGCAATGAGATCAACCGATAAAATAAAGTAGCCTTTACACAAATGTGTTAATAAAAGTTTAAATAGTTCTCAGATTATGGAATACACGGTTTAGCCGAAAAGTGATTGAATATCTTCGAAACCACATCACTGACTGAATAATAATAATAATAATAATAATAATAATAATGATAATAATAATAATAATACAAGGACCTTGAAATCGAAATCTAAAAAATGTGACATATGGAAACATCAACAATCCCTGTTGTAGCTGGAACCCTAGGATTGGTTGGAAAAGATTCCAGTAGACTAACTGAAGGGATTCCTGGAAGCCCATGCCTTAAAAAATATAAAAATAAATGTTTTCACACGTACAGTCCAAACTTTACGAAGGGCATTGTGTATGTAAAATATTTTTTTTTTAAATTTCTTTTTTATTTTTCTTATTTGGAAAATGTCATTATGCCATTTCTAACCTACAGTCTGTGGGCGGGACCCGGAAAGAAATGTGTACACACCAGATATCAAAGGAAATAAAATAATAATGACAATAATTAACGCTATAACTATCCTCTGGGACATACCAGTTCAAATTGACAGGGAAATAAAAGCCAAAAGACATTATAATATCGTAAGAGACAAGAAATTTATGGAGTATATGCTTATTGACATAGCAGTACCATCTGAGAGAAACACCTCTATGAAAATCCTCGAGAATGTGGGGAATGAAGACTGATATTGTATCAATAGTAATCAGAGCTCTAGGCCTTGTAAGGAAAGGAATGGACGATTTCACTAACAGTTTTTATGGTAACCAAACATACAAGTTCCCCGGAAAATCGCCCTACTAAAAACATCCCATATACTAAGAAATGTGCTAACGATTAAATGACATTTCTTCTATTGGGCCTAAGGACCATAGTTTGGACCCAGCTCTACAGGACACAAGGCAGGAAACATAACAAGCAGAAATAATAATAATAATAATAATAATAATAATAAAATCCCGGCATGACAGAGTCGGCCAATATCGGCACTGGAAAATTTGCAACTTCTACTGGAAGGAAACTGAAAGAAACTGGTATAAACAGCATCCAGACCCGGTTACGGAGATAGGGCCTGTTACAATTCTATGGGATTACACAATACACACTGACAGAACAATCAAAATAACGTTATTGAAGACCACAGACAAAAAAAAAACGTACCTCCTTATTGATATGGCAGTCCCTGCAGACAGCAATGTATCTTTGAGATATGCAAAAAGCTGTCGAAATACAAGGACCTTGAAATAGAAATCTCAAAAATGTGGCACATGGGAACATCAAAAATCCCTGTTGTAGTTGGAGCCCTAGGATTGGTTGGAAAAGATTGCAGTAGACTAATTGAAGGGATTCCTGGAAGCACAAGCCTCAAAGAAATACAAAAAATTGTTTTGACAAGTACCGCCCACACTTTACGAAGGGCTTTATCTATGTCATTTTTTTTTTTTTTTGCAGTGAAAATTGTCATGATGCCATTTCTAACCTTAGGTCCATGGGCGGAACCCGGAAAGAAATGTGTAAACCCCAGAAATCAAAGGAAATAATAACAATAATAATAATAATAATAATAATAATAATAATAATAATAATAACAACATCGAGAAATTGTACAGATATAAGGACATGGAGATTAACAAGATGTGGCAATGAAGACTGAGAATGTATCAATAAAAATCGGAGTTCTGGGCCTCGCGAGTAAAAGGAATGGACAATTTTACTAACAGTGTCCCAGGTAACATCAACATGCAAGTTGCCCAGTAATCAGCCCTACTAGGGACATCTCATATACTAAGAAAAGTGCTCTCAATTTAATGTCTGTTCGCCTATAGGTACTAAGGACTATGGTTTAGACTCGGCTCTACAGGAAAAAAAATGTAGGAAACATAACATGCACAAATAATAATAATAATAATAATAATAATGCTTAACTGACGTTGCTAGTATGTGGTACGTTACGACCAAAATTGTCTCTATTATCATGTGGTCTTTGGAATGTATAGCGCTGAACATATGGGTTCTAAATTTAGGAAAGAAAAACGGAATAAAGTCTGGTATACCGTTGCTTCAGAAGTCTGCATTACTTAGTGTTGTAAATATGCTGTGAAAGGTTCGAGCTGAGGTCCGACGGCTTCATGGGAAGGACGACTGATGCAAGACCTCCGGTTGAAAGTAAAAACAGTACAAAAGAATATAAATTTGTATATTAAATATTTATCGCAATATATATATTTACCTTAATGCCCTTTACAATATCACATAGGTATATATATATATATATATATATATATATATATATATATATATATATATATATATATATATATATATATTTCCGTGAATTCGACGTATGAGAGTCAAGCAGATCAGTTTCCAGGAAACCGACAGCCCGACACCGGCACATGAGATTTGATTATAGTGGTGAAGGCTTCTGTGCAGGACCATCCACACTTTTTGAAGGGACGAATCCAGAGACCTTGGTGCACTACGTGCCACAAGAACCCCAAACGACCCTCCGCAGGTTTTGAATTCAGAGTTGTCCTTCTCCTAGACCAGTTGCCACCCAAGGCTATAGAACCCAATCTGTACTCCTATTTACCCATAGCTGGAGGGGAGAAGAAGAGTATATATATATATATATATATATATATATATATATATATATATATGTGTGTGTGTGTGTGTGCGTATATATGCATGTGTGTGTGAGTGTCTATTTGTGGAAAGGTACGTTTTTCATACTTAGAGAATGTGAATTCTTTTTCATTTCAGTTAGATTTATTAGCAGTTTTGGGTGTAAGTTTTTGAAAATCTTCGATATTCGACAATCTTCTCATATCTAGACGGACATATATATATATATATATATATATATATATATATATATATATATATATATATATATATATATATATATATCCCTTAACTAAATAATCGTTCCTAGTTATTTATATTTCGTGACTGCTTCTTTTCGCTGTTTCCAAATATTCATTTAGTGCATTGTCAGGTCGTGGTGTTAATATAATTAAAGAAGTCGCTGAACTTAAATCCCAAAGGAAAAAAAAAAACGATTTTCTCTCAAGGATATTCAGTAGAAATCATCACTTTTACTAAACATACACACACACACAAACAAACAAACAAAAAGCAAACACACATTTCGGGGTATGGGGTGTAATTTCTGAATGGTAAACTCGGGAAAATTATTTGGAACGCGTTTCGTCCTTGAAAAGGGACTTCATTTATGTAGGGGTACAGAGTGAAAATATAAACAAAATAAGAAAAAAATACGGAACGCTGAATATGTATGGAGGCTAAACTTTAAATTTAAATTCTAAATTATTAATGTTCGATATATCTAGAGGTACAGACCTCCCGACGATTTGTTTTCAACTTTTTGTTATTCGATTATCTACCATTAATCCGATATATAGACTGTATATATCTTAAAGAAATTATGTTCTATGCATCAGCTCAAGTAAAGCTACTTGTGTTGGATAGTATAACAAATATTAATAGTCAAGCTACTATCCTACATGGCCTGAGGATTGCATTTACACAGAAATCAGCGTGTCGTAATTCGTCGATAAATTCTTTCTCCACAAAGTTTATATTTGCATATGCTTCATCCAGAATAGTGAACACTTTTACACTATAATTATATTATACCTTGAAACTATATGATTTTCAGTGATTTCCTGATATAGAGGCATTTGAGGCAAGCAGTTTTTTTGTGGTAGAGGATTAATATAGAAGGATATAGATTTAATAGAATTAATATAGAAAAGTATTTTATTTAAGTGAAAAAATTTATATATAAACATATATATATATTTAAGTAATTCATCGAGTCTGATAGAAACCTCAACAGAATGCAGAAAGCACTGGACGGCCGTTTCGTCCGATATTTGGGACTCATCATCAGTGCGCATCCACTATCGAGAATTGAAACCCTGACAGTTAGGTTGTCAAGCAAACATCATACCAACTGTTCCAAATGGGCCTCGGTGACGAAAAGATTCCAAATCAGACTCAACTTAGCGCCGCTCGCTCACATATTCCGTGGTGGAACTCTACTGAGTTCTCTGTAACCAAAGGACTGTGCCCCCTGGAGCCACGACTACTCTCACCAAGCCGCTACCAACTGGAGCATTAGAAGCCGGTTCAAGCGATGCTAAACACAGATAGTAATGATATTATTATCTGTGTTTATCATATTACATATTTAATTTGTTATCTAGTTTTCCCAGCGTTCTTAGAATTTTTATATTTGGTGGGAGTATGGGAGTGCAAAAATTATCCATATTATTAATTGTTCCAAGCGCTTTTGTCCATCTATTTAGCAATTTCCAAGGGGTCTTGTTTAGATGGTATTAATTTGTTATCATGTTTAGACTGTTTAAGAATCATTTTATTTTTGTGTTGTTCTGAATACAAGTATCAGCGGTTATTACTTACCTGTGTTGAGCGGGGCTGGAATTCGTGAGAGCATCTTCATATTTTTTTAAAACTTCAATACACCATTTCCATTGTTAAATAAGGTGTGGTTGATAGTGGGAGCGAGATGTGTAATTTACAGAGCCTCTCTTATACCAAGATGATTCCTATAATATGATTTATATAGAATGTTAGTGTTTAAGACTAGAATTTTTTTTTCTTAAACGGTAAGTGAATATAAATATCCGAACGTCAATTGTTACTCTGCTCTCCGATTAACAATTCTGAGCCATTATCCGTTCCACCACCCGCACATCCAAGCTTACACCCCTTGTTATTCCCAAGCATTCACACATCTCTGTACTGACCAGGCTCGACATTTCTTAAATTCGGTTATCGTATGGGAACCGATGGTTCCACGTGATATGACCGTAAGCCTCGACATGCGAAGTTTAACGAATATGAAAACAGACAACTGAAATAGATTAATTTGATACCAATGCCGAAATGTTGTGAATATAATTACCAAAATGAACCTGCCTTTTCAAATAGCAAAGCATATGCTAATAATGTAAAGTACTTATAAGATATGTATGTACTGTAATAGATGTTATATATGTTATTGAATATATATGTTATATATTTATAAAATAATTGTGGCCATGTGCCACAAATAGTGTATATTACATACAGTAATAAATAAATTATATATGTTATTTATGATACATTTTCACTAGAACTCAATTAGTGTCATTATTTTCTGTTATTAAATCTATAATTTAAGAAGGCACTTTAGTTTTGTTGATTTTTTCCTGTTTTATAGCCGAATTACCACATTCACTTTTCTTAAGTAGGCGAAATTAAGAAATAACCAGTTGTGTACGTATCAGTAGCTGGGTGTTATATACGCAGAATTAGGTCTGATGTCCCGCGAGTCGCAGCACTGCAAACTAATTATTTGTAGCCAATAATGTTCTTTTTCAGACGGCGGATGTTTGATACTGAAAAAAGAACATTATGAGCCTTAAGTTGAACCTTTATATTTTGGTGTACTGCATTATTGACGTTGGTATTCGTCCTGAAAACGGATTTTTCGCAATGTTTTTGGTTGTCAATGGTACAATTGGAGATATTGTTCGAAACTCGAAAATAATTATAACAGATGTAAGCAATAATCATGTTCAATTTCTTTTCTATGCAACAGGAATATGGTGGCAATTGTAGACGAATAATGCCATCTATCTATCTATCTATCTATCTATCTATCTATCTATCTATCTATCTATCTATCTGCTCACATCGCTCTGCCCTAGTCTGGTCCGCCACTCCATTCCTCCTTGCGATCTAACTATCGTTCTATATATTTCTATCATTCTCTCTATCTCTCATTCACACCATCTCTCTATTTCTCAATCTCTCTCTCTCTCTCTCTCTCTCTCTCTCTCTCTCTCTCTCTCTCTAATGCTTTTTAATTCAATTATATAATGTAGTTGTCATAGAATTAGTGGATAAAAACTGTATATTTTTATTTATTGGGTTTGTCAGAATTGTCAACGCTTGTATTTTTAAATATTTTACAAACTTTTTGTTTCGGCTTGAATATAAAATAAAAATCTTATTGGAACATACACAGTAAATTTACGTTTAGGTTATCACAACATTTCACCTTTCTTGGGAGTTCTTCTTTTATCCCAACGTGGGATAACAAGCGATAAAAATATTAACAAGAAACTAAATGAAATCGATTGGCATATATACCCAAAACGCATATTAAAAAAAAAAAATAAAAAAAAACATTAAGTACCAAATTTCATAAAATATCTCAGCGTCTCCTTTCCTTAAAGTTATATATATATATATATATATATATATATATATATATATATATATATATATATATATATACTAACCAAGTATATGATAGGTGTATACGGAATGAATTCCAATAACCAAAAATTACTATTCTTAAAAGCATCACTTGATAAGACACCGGAGGTGTTGAAACATAATAGCTATTTTTTTTTCGTGATTTTATAACATATTTATGTTATAATTTTTAAATAAATAATTATATATATATATATATATATATATATATATATATATATATATGTTTGAGCATTTCACATAATATTATATTCTTAGTCTGTCCTGGACATTGATCTCTACCTGGATTCTATACCCTTTAATAAATAAATAAATATATATATATATATATATATATATATATATATATATATATATATATATGTTGAAAAATATTATTATCAATCTCTCTCTCCATCTAGCTCTCTCTCTCTCTCTCTCTATATATATATATATATATATATATATATATATATTGAAAACTAGTATTATCAATCTCTGTCACTCTCTCTCTATGTCTCTCTCTCTCTCTCTCTCTATATATATATATATATATATTTATATATATATATATGTATTTATATATATATATATATATATATATATATATATATATATATATATATATATATAGTTAATGATTAATTATTAATTGTTAGATTTTTTCTTTTAATAATATTAACTACGGACACGACCGCAATGAGCTGTGTTCGGAAAATAAAACATCTCTGTAATACTAAAAACATACATACAACGGACACACTCAATTAAAATGCATAAATAATACTCTCCTATGAAAGGGCTAAAGGTATAGCCGAAAACGCTCGGAATTATAGAACATTTGGACAGTTCCTACACAGTCTGCGTCCAAAAAAGAAAACAAAATTGAATAAAAAGTTTAATCTTAGTACCTGTCTGTCATTTTGATTGCCGTTTTGACTGTCATTATGAAACATGCCTAAAAGAAGGACTACTGCTTAAATACACATATATATATATATATATATATATATATATATATATATATATATATATATATATATATATTATAATAAAAAGAAGGAACAGTAAGAATTATAATCCGGTGTTCTTATTGATATTTTTATTTTTTAAAAACAGTGCTCAATGTAAATTTACAAATCATAAATATCAAATCAGACGACCCTCCCTAAATATTTCTGGCACTTAAAAGAAACCTATAAAACTCCTACAGTAAAATGGAAATTAATAAGAAAAGCTAGAATATTTAGGTCATTAAATGGCCTATGTCCTTTGTGCATACATGAGAAACTATATATTACGAAGTTTATAAAAAATTACTGAATCAAAGAAATGTAATAGATATTCTTTGCCGACATTGTCTAAAATTTTCCTTAAATAATATTTAAAAATAAAATAAAAATTAAAAAAGAAATGGAATATACATATATATTATTGATATGTAATAATAATTTTTAAATAATTAAAGTCATTCTATTCCATTTACTTGATTTAAAAACAAGTATAGTCTACTAGTAATTAAGAGTAAAAATAATATCTTAAAATCGTAGTTCAATATAACGTATTCTAATCCAAATACCACTTTTAGAAATAATCTTTAAGTATACAAGTACGAATTTAACGAAATAATGCGTTTAAGGGATGTCAAAATTCGTTGCAAACCCTCCCTAAACTTAACTTCTTTTTTGAACGTAACTCACAATTGATACAACAATAGATATTTAAAAAAATGAACACGCTACCGCCCCTGTCTAAATGATTCATTTTCTCTGTATCCTTGGAAAGAAGAAATTATGAATTATACGTGCGTTTAAAACTCAGTAAATTTAAAAATACGTTATTCCAAAATTCGCTTGAAGATGAAACAGAACTAATGCTTTTGATTTAATTATATAATTGAATTTAAAGTTTTAGCTTCGATTTTTGAAACATGGCAATTCCTGTGTTGCAAAAGAAACCATTTTAAATCAGTTATATATATATATATATATATATATATATATATATATATATATATATTTTACTGATATAATTATGATAGACTATAATATTTGCAACACAGTAACGCGTGTTGAAATTATCACAGTATTTAGTATTGTTGAAGTTGTCGCTAATATTTTTTATCATTCAATTTCACAAACCAATCGATAAAATTTGAATAAGCTGATTTTTCTGAAAATACTTTTGATAAAAACCATGCTTCGCGGTTTTCATACATTCTAGCAAAATCAATTGTAATTTGTACCCTCTTACCTGTTTGCATTTATCCGTCAACTGGTTTCGATCGGGCTATTTATAGCTATTTTAGAGTGTGAAAATGGACAGACCCATGGACAAATAAAGTCAGAGAAATTTATATATAGATTATAATCTATCTGTCGATCGATCGATCGATCGAGCGAGCTATTGATCTATCTATCTTTTCCAGCATCTATATCTTTAGTGATTAAATTTCTTGAGAGAAACAGGAATTTCTGAAATCAATCTGTCGGAATCCCAGACATTTCATATTAAAATCAAGTGTATATTTGTCATCAGTTTCTTCTTTTCTCTCAGAGTGTTAGCCTCTCTCGATTACCCAATTATTTTCTTCAGAACGGCACTTCTATTTATTGTTCACTCTTCGTCGCTCTTGCAAAACCCCAACCAAAATACTCTCTACACTTCAAACAGACATCGATTGAAACGAAATTAATCGCGTCTTGTACGGTCAACGGAAAATCTTGGCGATAACTTGCTTGGCGTTTCGCCTGTAAGGCCTTCAATAAGTTCACATTTGAAAGCATTACTACGACGAAACCCTTCTTACAATTCCTTAATTCAAATCCATGTCGCTTTCTCTCTGTTTAAAATTTTCTTAAAACTTCCGGGTTATTCACATGCTTAGTCCAAGGGATTCTCATCATCCTTCTGTAGAACCGTATTTTACTTGCCTCACTTTCACCTGACATATAGAAGGATCGGTATTTCATCACTCTTTCCTTTACTTATCACGTAATTCAGAAATGTATATGAGTTTCAACTCCAAAACCCTTCTTACAATTCGTTAATTCTAATCTATCCTACTTCCTTTCACTTCCTCTCTCTCTCTTTAGAATTTTCCTAAAATTCCTAGTTATTCCCATGTTCAGTCTATGGGATTCTTGGCATCCTTCTGTAGAAACATATTACACTTGCCTCATTTTCAGCAGTGATGGCGATTTTCTAAGTATAGCTTAAATCGTCTCAATAGCAAATTATTTTACACCATCCAACCTCTGTCCCCAGCGAGATGCGGCTAGCCTTTCGCTGCTCTGTCGCCTCTTTCAGGGAAAGTGCTCGGATGAACTACATTCCTTGTCCCGCCCGACCTAACTTACACCGCCATGTAACTTACACTCTAGCAAACCACACACATTCCCTCCGTATTCCATTGGTGAGAAAATAAGTTCCAATCTAACAGCTTTCCTGCGAAACATGTTATGTAGAACCAACTCCCACGAGGATTTATTCCCGGTCATTACAATCTTAACCTATTCAAGTTTAGGGTTAAGCGTTAGCGTCTTCTCCTATCCGTACAAACTGCTTCT